GTTTCCCATGTACATGGTTGTTTCCATTGTGTGTTTTGTTGTACCCAATAAAGAAACTGTTGAATCCTGCGATGGTAGTATCATTGATTTTTTTTTAAAAAAAAGAATGGACAGCGCACGCCAGAACCGTGTATGGGTCTCTGGCGCCCACGTACCCGCATGATCAACGTGGGGGACGATGCCATACAATAGTCTCCGACCGGCGTACTGCACTCCACCAATGGCCCCGACCGGCATGCGTTCCTACACAGGGTTGTGTGTGTTATTTAAAAGCTGGCCCACATTCTCAAGTCTCATATGATTTTCTTTTTTTACCATTGGTTTTTCGCACTAATACAAGTCCGCACACTAGTGGCTATCACAGGTAACACACAGCACAACCATGCCGGGACTCACACCGTTGCTCTGTTTGGTCGCGTGGCTCCATGTGGCGAGTGGCGGGACCGCGGTGTATTTGACTACAACGCCGCCGGGCTTACAGATCCTCAAAGAGCGAACAGTCTCATTTGTATGCGAAGGAGCTCCCAATCCCTCGGAGTGGGTCGTGATGAGACACGCTTTCTTGGAAAACATTACCTCCCCGTGCGGCCATGGCTGGGGCAGACCGCGTCAGCGCGGGGACTGTGTGTTGTCAATGGCTTTACCCTGGGACACGGGCGTTTATTGGTGTCAGTCGCTCACAGGCTGCGTATCCAGCAACAAACACAATGTCACCGTATCCGCTTCGACAATCCTTGACGTGGACTATGGTGGTGCAACAACCCTTTCTGTAGGAATGTACATGACGCTGACGTGCCGGCACATACAGCGTCCTTTTCAAGAGCCCGTCTACTTTTACAAAGATGGTTTGCCTATTGCCAGATGTCATAACGCAACAAACTTGACAATTTCAAACGTGTCAAGTGCGGACGATGGCCTATACCAATGCGGACCCGAGGGCACGAGGGCGTCCCCGACCAGCTGGATATCCGTGACTGAAAATGATACAAACTCTGTCTTCGTGACGGCCAATACAACAGCCTTATCCGGTGGCACACCCCGGGGCACAATGTCATGCGAGACCGTTGGCTTACACGGACGGTCGACGCCAACCCCTCCCAACACAGACACCTCCGGCGCAACGCGGCGGGATTCACCCCCCTCGATCGACCGACACACGCCGACGGAGCGCCCGGTCTACGATGACCTGTTCGTGTACATGGCCGCGACACTATTTGCTGCCATGGTGGCGGCATTATTGTACCTTGTGGTTCACATGCACAGGGCGACGCGCACTAACAGAGAGAGAACGCGGCCTCTGACCCCATACGCGGCACGGCGCAACGTGGAGCGGTTGGCTGAATCTAAAGTGTAACAATGACAAGTGTATTACTTTTTTCTTTTTGTATTTTGCACATGACTTTGGTACTATATGCTTTGCCGCAATAAAAATTATGATTGTCAACAAATACACCGTGTCTCGTTTTGCATGTTTCGCTCTTTTTAAACGTATGATAAATTCCGCTTGGGGTGGCGTGGAGTGTAAGGGGTGGGCGCAGCGTTGTGTGTTATATACACTTTTACTCAACCGGTTGTATATGATGCTTATGCAGACCTCGTGTCATGTTAGGCTTACACTCGCCGCATTTTTTGGTCTCTACCATGCCAGCGTTTTCTAACTTTACCAACAGGTTCAATCGGAACGTCAACGCGCGTATCATCTTCGACCTCTCACACATATCACATTCGACCAGACTGCACTTGATCAGAGTGTATGCGAGCTTGGCGCTGTGTACGACCATGGCTCTTGCGGGCGCGTGTCTCAGCATCGCAACGGTCGGTCTGTCTGTGTACGACGGCCTGGTCGTGATGTGTCTCCTGGGCTCGGTAGTCGCCGTGTTTTTGCTCGGCGTGACAACTCATAGCCCCGTAACCGAGGTCGAGCGGTTCTCTGGCCTGTTGGGGTTGTCGGTGTCCACGGGGTTTACACTCGGAGCCGCGCGACTCGAGGCTTCCGCGGATCCAAACGTTGTCGCGGTCGCCCTGGCGGGAACCACTCTACTCTTCGCACTTTGCACTCTCAGCGCTCTGTATTTCGAACGCAGGGTGTTCTTGTTGGTGGGAGGCGTACTCCCCGTACTCTTCATCATGTTCCTGCTGACTACGCTCGATATCGTCACTGACATGGACACGCACCTAGGGGTGTTACTATACTGCGTCTTGATTGTGATGGATACGCAAGTGATCATCGAGAAAGCGGACGCGGGTGACACCGACTACATATGGCACTGTGTGGGACTGTTTCTCGACATCGCCGAGATGTTTAGGAAAATCACGGCAATACTCGGCCGCAAGACAAACAGCAAAGGGGATACGTTAGAGACAGACGAGCACGGTGGCAACTATGAGACCAATACTACAATTGGTACAATTTCAAACGGTGTACACCGTGGTCGGGACGAGTTGTAATGTGTTGTTATCTTACAGGGAAAAACCAATAAACAAATGTGCACAGTCAAACTAAGAGTTTTTTAATTACTGGGGGCGCATATACAATGGCCAAATTGTACATACACGCATACGTACATACAACGGCTACATTCCCCACTCACTTAGGCACAATCACGTCGTCCACCAACGGCATTTGCCCCGACCGGCGTGTAAAACGCGA